AATGAGTTCTCAGCAATTGCAACAAATCCAAATGCATCAACAGCAACTACATCATCAACAGCAGCAGCATTGGTTACAGCATCAGATGTCTCAACAGCAGCAAGCCCAACATCAAGCTTTAGCACTTCAGCGTCAAGCTCATCCAAGAAGAGATAGCCATTCAATCATTGGTCAGCAACAACAGCAGCAGCAAGTTTCATCAAGAAATGCTAGCAGAAATAGTACTAGAAATAATAGTGTTTCCGGCGAGCATATGTCTCCGTTGGTGAATGGTTCTATTTATATGCGAAGTAATCCTCCAGGAAACCAAGGGCCTCCGTACCCAAGGCCGATGACCATTGAAGAGCAAGAATGCATACAATATAGCAACATGCCTGATCCTATGAAAAGATCTCTCATTCCCCCCCTTGGTTTTATACATTCTCAGGGACTTCCAGATCCAGATATGAAAGCTCTTCATCAAGCGAATCTTCGCAGTCCCCGCCTTGTTACTATCGATACTCCTAAACTTGGTTGTGATGGCGTCTCTCGCAGGTTTTATCAATTTGTGAAGGATTTTCCTATGGCTCCAACGAAGATCCCCTTCGAATCCTCACTCAACAGATTAGAGTTCCAGATTTCTGCCGATGCATTGACGCGTATTTCTCGTGATAAATTGGTTGCCAAAGATTGTCTAATGGTCCGAGAAGTCAAATCGCAATCTCTTCAATTTCGATTGAGATGTGTATCAGCAGTCGCAGATGCAAATCGAATCCCAGTTTCGAGATGGGTTGTTTCGGATACGGTGTGGCCCGAAATGATCTTTATGGATATCAATAGCCATGAGTTAGAGGCCAGACGCAAATGGCACCATGGCAGGGATCTTCCAATCGATATCACGCCTTATATAAATTCTGGAACCAACGAGATTACAATATCGATGCCCAAGTTACCTACAACAAATAAAGAAAAGGAATATTTTCTGGCTGTGGAAGAGATTGAGATTTTACAGCACAATGAAATCATGGACAGGTGTAAAGAACAAAGCATTCCTGCAGCAAGAGTCGTGGAAGAGATTCAAAAGAAGCTTGCAGGCCCGACGGATGATGATGAACTTTCGATAGTGGTCACTGATCTTTCGATTGGTCTTACTGATCCTTTTACCTCGAGAATCTTTGAAATTCCCGTTCGCGGTGAAAATTGTTTGCATCGGGAATGTTTTGATCTCGCAACTTTCCTGTCGACACGCCCAAGCAAGCCGAAACGACCAGATCAACCTTGTATGGTCGACGTTTGGAAGTGCCCGCTGTGCTCTGAGGATGCACGTCCATACAGCCTTCGGTACGATGGATTTTTAGCTTCTGTGAGAGACGAACTACAGAAACAAGATAAGCTTGACGTGAAAACTATCTTAGTCGCGGCGGATGGTACCTGGCGTCCAAAATTCGAGTCGCAACCTTCACATAAACGAAAGTCGACCGCCGATGACGATGACAACGATTCGATAGATGAAGAAAGGCCAAGAAAGAAATCAACAAATGGCGTTACGCATGCCGTGGTAGAGATAATTGAATTGGACGATGATTAAACTTTTCTTTGGTGGATTTTCGTTACGATCACACACAAATATACGAGCACGATGCGGCGTGGAGTTTTACAAAATTGGCCAGCTTTTTTTGGGTTGGATGGATTAGCTTCTTTGCATAGGTGCTTATTAGCGGCGTTGATTTTGAGGAAAATGGATGGAGGACGAACACAACCAATCGTTTGGCGTACGTTAATTTTTGCTACTTCTTCATGTAAGGGCGTTCTCAACTTCTTTCGGAAATCTCACAACATGGCTTTGGCGTATGAACGTTCTGTTGAACACGGTTGCGTATGGTGGGGGTTTCTTAGCATACGAGAACAATGGCATGGTAGAATAGCATATGGTAGGGCTTGGCTTATCAAATTTCATGGTGGAAAAATACCCCTAGATCATGATTATCATGAAGTTTGAATGGATGATCAGGGATTGGTCTAATTGATTGCACTGGGTAATAGACTACTAGGTCTAGAGTGGATGGAATGTGTATATTTGTAATAATTAGCTAGATATTTGGCTGCAAGACTTGGCGTACGTTTATGTGAAGTAATTACAATAAATGAGAATTTAATTTGTGAATTTGAAATGCTGGAATGGAATGGTGGAGTGAGTGAGGTAGGGAGAAAGTGATGATTTTGATTTTTTGATATTGGTGTTGGCGAGATGAGGGAGTGATTGTTGGATGAGTGAGATGTGGTGGATGTTTGAACTTATGTGGTTTGACAAACCACCAGGTAGATTAATGTAAGGTAAGTTACATATCAAGCCAGTATGTAAATATTCTTTCATTCTATTTCTATTTCTCTTGATTTTAAATTGAGCTGCACTCTTGGGCTTTGGATTGTAAAGTTGTAAATCTAATAGTAGATGAGTGAATGAAGAGAGAGGGAGAGAGGGAGAGGGACTAGGTGAATAGGTATATAAATAGAATTATTATTATTATTATTATTATTATAATGATGAGAAATACTACTATGTAATAGTAGATCTCTCTATGATAATAGTATGTATGGAATATTGTTTATTTATTTTTTATTTTTTATTCGCTTAGTTGAATGGTTGAATGATGGGGAGAAGTAATATATATGAGGGGGGGGATTGAGTTGATAGGTAAATAGACTAGTAGGCTGATAGGTAGGTAGGTAGGTGTTTATCTGAGTGCTGAAAATTGAGAATGGGAAATGGGAATTGAGAATTGGAAGGTTTGATGAGGGTTGAGCTGGAGTTTGAGAAGGTGCTGGTTTTAGGTTTTACTGTTTTGAGTGCGATGAAAGGGGGATGTGGAGGATATATGACATGATATGGTATGGTACTTGTTTAACGTTCAGGGGAAGACCTTCCGAGGGGTATTGAAGACGAGCTATACTAGGGAATTATGATAAAATCCTATAAATAAAATGAAAAACCTCAAATTGTAAGGAAAACCTTATAAATAAGCCCAAATCCCTAATCTCATAGTATTATAATGCTTTTATATATTCTAAATAGTTATTTCTAACTTCTATATTATATAGCTAATTAATTACTCTACTCTCTATATAATTAAGTCTTTTAAAGTATTCCTTCTTTACTAATTGAGGTATTCTATTATATTTCAATTATAAATAATGACTTCAAGTACGAAGGTCGCGGTCATTTTGAAAGAGATTATAGACTCTTTCAGGGTATATACACTATAAGGCTCTATAATTTGTTGGATTTGATTGGGATTTATAAAAACTGGTTTTTGTTTTACTCAAATAAACTAGCGATACCTATATCCTACGCTTGATTAAACTTTAGATCAATCTTAAACCATAATGCCTGAAGCTTATAGGCTCGTGAAGCCTAGCATAGGCTTAAAATGATTGAAATACAGGCCCTATAGTGCTCAATTAGTGTGCTTCATTATAGGTGTTGTTTTTAATAAATATTAATTAAATCAATTAATATTATTATAATATTAAAAGGACTGATTATAATAATAAAAGTCCATTATTATTATAAAGAAATAAAAATTTGATATTATAAGAAAAATTCAAAAATTCTTTATAAGATAGAATACTATTATAATATTAAATAAAGAATTCTTCATTAAAATGAAAATCCTTTATTAGTTCTTTATTCGAAATTACAATTCATTATTTTGAAAATTTTAAAATATCATGTAGAAACTGATTCAAATATAGAATAACAGATATAATAATAAGTTTTCTTTATTAAAAAGTTAACTTAAAATTAATAAAGAAAGTAATTTCAAATTAATTCTAATTTTGGATTAAATTAATATATACCACCTACGTATTATAAATCATATAAAGGAATAAAAGAAGTATAAATAGATAGCTTAAGTGTTTAAAGAAAGATCTTATTCTAATACTCACTTTATAAAACTTATTAAGTAATCTATTAATATATAAACTAAATTAAGATTCTATTTATATATTATGATGATTCTGTTTATATATTCTATTAGTCTAAGCTTCTCATATAGTACTATTTATATAGTACTATTCTCAATCGAGCCTAGTCTACCTCCTGCTAAGCGCATAACCTATAATATTTATAATATTTTAAATGTTTATATATATAAAGAAATTTTAAAAATTCAAAAACTCTTATTTTTCTAATAAATCCTCTCATTTCAGTATTACTCCTCTTTATTTTATAATAAACCTTACATACTTAAAAGAAATATATACTTTAGTATATTAGAATATCGAGGTATCGACAAGAATGATTTATAAAGTTGGAAAATTTCGAAAAGGAAATATAAATAGATATGTTATATAGCTCTAAGTAAGCAAATTTTAATGGATTTAATTTTAGCTCTTCAAATTCTAATAAAAGAATTGAAGGTTTGTAAAGGGCACCGCGTACAGGTGTTGAATCTTTCGCCTTCCGATGTGAAGGATGTAGGAAGTAGGAAGGTACTGGGTAGTAGGTCGTAAGTAGGCAGTAGGCAGTAGTTCTTTTCTTTTCTTTTCTTTCCTTTTCTTTCCTACATCGGTTGGATAGGATAGGATATAGTGTTATACTTCCATAGGAAATATGAAGAAACTCCATTCGCATCGGATGAGGAGGAGTGTGAGGTGAGGGTAAAAGAACTCTTGACTCTCAAGTGATGGGCTGGGCTAGGCAAGAGCAGAAGAGAAACTGCATGGATGGAAGAAGGAGATATGGAAATTTCTGGGCCATCGGTATGGTTCTTTCTGTTTGTATTTATGTTGAGATTGAGATTGAGATTGAGATTGTTTCAACATTCATTGCTATTTCTCAGTATGAGGATTAGTTTATCAACGACCTCGAATATCGATATCAACATCGACGCCTAGATTCTACGCTTCATTATACGAACTTATAAATTCCTTCTCATAATCTCGCATCTGCACTCCAGCATCTATTGCTCCATCTCTCCCTCAACATCATTATCCTCCTCCCTTCCTATCTCACAACCATGCCCCCCGTGAATCTTCGCCCCCAAAAACTCCTCCAAAATCTTCTCATCAGCATCCTCTACCTCCTCACCATAATTCTCACTTTCTTCAGCGTCCTGATCATCGTCGCCATCTGGACATTCTTCATGTTAGATTACAGTTTTGAAAATCTTTCTGTGACGGTACTTGAGGGTATTGCGGAGGTTGTGTTGGTTAGTTTTTCCCCCTCGCTTCCTTCTCATCTTCATTTTTTTACCTCTGCTATATCTTGGTTCCTTTTTCTCTTTCTCTCTTTCCTGCGAAATTAAAAGATGATTCGGAACATCAAGCGAGAAATAGTAGTCCGAATCATATATATGCGGAAAACATATCGTGTTGGAATATCTGGGGCTGACTTTTACGTGGTATAGAGTTCGGCTGATAGGTTGTGCGAGTTTGTGGGGTTGGAGATGACGGAGGAGGGGTTTTATTATTTTGGAGGGGAGAAAAAGGAGGAGGAGGAATAGTGAGATGGATGAGTTTGAATGGTGATGTGATGAGGGGGTCGCGTGGGTAGGGATGTGAAGAGGAGTGGGATTTGAATAGGGGTGTAGGTTGGATAAGAGTGCGTCGGCGAGATGTACACCAGCGAGACATGTATCGGCGAGAATTATATCAGCTAATGTGTAAAGTATCAGCGAGGAGCGCCTGATAAATTCCTGGATATGCGTTACCAATGGCTAATCTAAGGATCAACCACGGCAAACCAACTTGGAAGTACAGATAAAGACCAAATTTCGAAATTTCATTGTTCATGTGACATATTTCGTTGTAAAATAACAGGTATACTATAAAATTTACACGCACATCATGTGTATGTCAATATCTCATAGCTTGGGGATTTGGAAAGTAATATTGCAATGAGTAACGACTGCTGGTCATGATTTGAAGTCTACAGATGAGTGGGATTGTGAATAGGAAGACAATTGAAATTGTAATTTCAAGGCTCTGGATTCTTAAAAGAAGGAGGAGGGTAAGATACTGTGTAGTAACGCATTCGTATCCATACTTCTGATATAGAGATGCTAGGAAACCTCAAGAGAACGGATATACCATCTGAACATATTGATGGATCGCGTTCAATGACAAGAAAAGAGTCCTGAAAGCTAGGAAACAAAACATAACACAACATAACACAACATAACACAGAGTAAACAGACCGATCCCCAGATCCCCAACCCCCCAAGAAGAAGAATACGGTATTGTGAAACCCCAAAGTCCAAAGGCAATTTACATACTTATAACCATCAAACCATCAACCATAATCCCCAAAAAGAAAACAAATCCCCCGACCGAGCATTCAAAAAGTGGGAGAAGCGACGATAGCCGTTCTCTCCAAGTAGACGTCGATCATTCAGAAGTATACTTCACTTAGCTCGTTCGCTAATACGAATAAGCTTTTTTGAACAACTTTCAATATAACTCTCTTGCCCATCATCAATTTTAGGACAGAGAAGTACCTGTAATTCAAGAATTAGAGTTTGAGATGCCTGGAAAAGTTAATACTGACATCATCTATACAGACACTTGAGTGTTGCTAAAAGTGTCTCTCTCGGATAGAACAAACTCTGATTGATTGATTTTCAGTAGTGCGGTGCGTCAAAATGATTTTCCAAGTCAAGATAATTTAAAGCAGTCGCCGGACGAGAAAATGGAAAGTCAATACGAAATGAAGTTTGAGGATGTGATTTCGCCTCGCTTGAATACACCTCGAAAGTCGCAAAAGATCTAGACTTGCTGCGAAGTTCAGACTCATCTCCCCCAAATATCAAATATTTAGAGCCTGTGAAAGGCCTTAATTTTACCCATAAGATCGTACATTTATAAATACTACATGTTCCATAGCACATGCAATATTTCTCGCGTAACCAAGACTCACCTGAAGCATTAGTTGAGGCCAAGAAGAGCCCAGTAACTTTATGACTTGCAGAATAGTCACCAAAGTAGCGTAGACATAACACGTTAATGATGCCACGATTCGAAGACTAAATTCCATTCAGACATATACATTAAAACCCCAATCCCACAATAGTCCCTCCTTCAACACTTTTTTTTAAATACACAAAATCCATAACACCTGTGTTATCGAACTTTTAATGCATACGGAAAACATAAGAACAGAAAACATACACATTTGCCTACATTATGGGAGCTCGATAAACCATCTACCAAACATAATCGACAGTAGCAACTTCGACTTCGGATAGTAGCATCAATCAATCGAAAAGTATTTATATTCTCCAAGATACGAAAACTATTCTCCAGGTGAAAGTGTTAAATATCAAATCGCAAAATCGCAATCAATCAACCAGAGGCGGCTCGCAACTCTCAGCATCACATATTCCATCAGTCCTAAGCAACATTCAACACTACTCGCTCTTTCAGTTAAACACACTCACCCAAAAAGCAACCTCTGACATCGCAAAATCGATCAACCAACCAAAAAGCACCACTTCCCAGGCAACTTCCACACAACTTCGGAGTGAAAATGAAGATTCTCGGTCTGCGAATCGGGGAACCAAAGCCCAAATATCTGGATGCTACTAAGCCCATAGATCACATACAGCAGCTGCCTAATGCACCCAAGAGGAAGGGGCGATCAATTGAGGATGGCCTGAATAGACAAGAGAGTGATGGAAGTTCGCCATCATCTGGTACAAGCAGTCAGGAAAGTGCAGATAGCTCGACACCAATAGTTGCACGTACAGTAGAAGAGCTGAGGGATGTGATTGGAGGAACTGGGTCATCAGCTTCAAACTTAGAATGTGTGTCGTTAATGTTATAAGTTATTGGAGAGAATATGCATACTGACTCCCCAGTAGTAAAATCTAGAATTTTAGAGCTTGCAATCAGTGATATTGGTATGGGAAAGTATCAATGGTTTTTGTTTGTACTATGTGGTCTGGGATGGGCGGCGGATAAGTATATTTCTCCCCCCATTTCCTGAAAATGATAGAACCTGATGAAAATTAGTCTCTGGCTCCAGGGAGTAGCGTTAATCCTTCCTACCTCCTCTGTTGTTTATGGTGTATCTGACCAACATGTTCGGTACGCCACTCTCGTCTTGAATGTTGGATTGTCACTTGGCGCCATTAGCTGGGGTTTTGGATCGGACAAAGTAGGGAGAAGACTCGCTTTCAACTCAACATTAGTCATTGCTGGAATATTTGCCTTCTTGACAGGAAATGCACCAAATTTCATCGCCGAGGCAGCTTTTCTCGGACTACTTGGACTTGGAGTAGGAGGTAGCCTGCCAGTGGATGGGACTATGTTTGTACGTCAACCTCCTCAAAGTGAAGCCCTGCCTCAAACTCGAGACATTGCGTTTGTTTAATGTTCTATAGTGCTGCTTGCTGATGTTTCAGTAGCTTGAATTTCTACCACACAAGGACCGTATATACTTAACACTTCTGTCAGTATGGTGGCCAATTGGGCAGGTTGTGGCTTCACTTTTTGCATGGCTCTTCCTTGGATCAAATTTTGAAGCAAGACGTGGTCTAAGACTTTTCTTGTACACCATGGGTGCTATAACTTTGGCAATGGCTATCTCTCGCTGGTTGTTTGATAGTATAGAGTCGCCAAAATTCCTCCTTGCTTCGAACAGGCAAGCAGAAGCTGTAAGATCTGTTCGTGCACTGGCGCATAAAAACGGCACCAAAACGTGGCTCACCGAAGAAATCCTCAACGAGATAGGAGGGACAGCAGAGGCAACCAATGTAGTGAAGTCAAGCACCAAGGTGCGGGTACGTCAAGCGATTACATCTTTTGGACCAGAAACAAAAAGGCAGATCTCTCCACTGTTTGGAAACGCTGAATTGGGTGTAAATACTGTAAGTTGTGTATCGAGTATCTTAATTCTCCGATTCTAAATTTTTTAGGCTCTGTTGTGGATCATCTGGCTTTGTATTGGGATAGGATATCCATTGTTCAATTCATTCTTACCACAATATTTGAAAGGCGGTAATAAAACTGAAAGCGAATCCGACACTTATCGAAATTACTTGATAATCAGTACAGCCGCTGTCCCCGGGTCCCTTTTGGCTTGCTATATTGTCAATGTAGCCGGCCGTAGGATACCAATGGCATTTGCAACGATGATCGCAGGAGTATGTTTCTTCCTTTTCACCCTTCGTGACGACAGCAGCTTTCAGCTTGGCTTTGGTTGCGCAGCATCATTTTTCCAGAATATCATGTTTGGAATCCTTTAGTAAGTCTATCAGCTTTATAAACGTGGGAATTGTTGTGTTGTACTAACAACATGTAGTGCATATACTCCAGAAACCTTCCCCGGATCCAGTAGGGGAACTGGTTGTGGTATTGCCCACTCATTGAATAGACTTGGTGGAATAATTGCTCCTCTCATCGCAGCTAACGTTGGAGCATCTAATCCAAGCATCCCTATTTACGTCAGTGGATGTTTGATCATTGTAGCATTTTTGGCCATGTGTTGCCTGAGAATAGAAACGCAGAATAGACAGTCGTTGTAAGCGGGCTGCACAGTATAGGGGGACAGCCCCCGTATACCAAGCGTAGTACTCATTATGTAGAACGAATACAATGGACGAAATAACTTCATGTGCCACGAGTTGAATGTACCACACGGCGATGGAGAGCCTGGTTCTTCACAATGTAACAGCAGAAACCTGATATTGAACATTCTGATCTGTATCAATCTTTCCATTACCAGCTTGGATGGCCCATGATTCTTTCTATCTCCAACCTCAATGAAGATTGGAATAGATTATCACGCAGCTTGGTAGATATTATTGAAGTCTGTGAAATTCCGCCCTGCCACTGCATTCATGAACCTTATATCGATCATGTCAACCAATAACTTCTACGGGATGAAGTCTGATTAAAGTAAACAACAAGGATGGGAGATGTGGGCTGACGGACAAGCTACAAGATACCCCCGGTGAGCTGAGCGTCATTCTTAAAACAGCATCATCTCGCATAGCGCACAGGGCTGTGCGAACTATCAAGTAGCTTCAAAGAATGGATGGAGCTTCTTCCATACATGCATGCTCCGAACATAAATTGATTGACCATTGACGGTCGTTTTCGGAGTTCTCGGATCTCGTATTCAACTGTACGAACCTTTTACAAACACCAAAGAAATTCGGACGCGCAGTCTCAATCAAGGGCAACGAGGCTGAGCACTTGAAACTTGCCTTGTCACAAATCATCCAACAGTGCGAATAGTACGGAGTTGTAGGGAAGCTTTCAAAGGTTACTCATTTCCTATAATCAAATACTAATCTTCAAACTGTTATTTCGCACCCTATAATTTAGTGATAAAAAAATGTCTGTTCGAATACAACTCGACAATCCTCATAGCTTTTACACGAATCTCGATTTTATCAGCGGCAGAGTTATTCTGAACCTTACAAGCGATGAAGCGGTTAGCAGAATAGTTGTGAAGGTCGAGGGGGAGAGCAAAACCCGTCTATCGAGACCACCAGAAATG